AGGTTTTCCTGACTCCAAGCGCAGCGCTCTGTGCACTATGGCGCCACCTAGCTGCATCTGGTCCCACTTACTACAGAAAGCGCAAAAACAGCATTTTATAGAAAATAATGTTTTACATCTTTATCCACAGAACAGCATCTCTATAAATTAATATTTTTCTATATGTGCTACCTTAAAAAAATAAGAGTAAAACTAACCAAGGTCTCTACTTACTTTTAAACTGAGATATGAGATAGCTTTATGCAGACCAACATAAAAGGAAAAGGAAAAATAATGAGGGTAGGTCTTCCTAAAGATAAACTAGAATCTGCAAAATTATTTCTAAATAACAATTACACTAAATGCCTTTTCATTCTGACCAGTTTTGAGCATCAGAAGAGGATGAACACCCTGATGAAATATCCCAATTATGCAAATAAGTCTAAATCCTAAAACTGGTCCATGGAAAATTTAAGATAGGTGAAAAAAGAAAATTAAGATTTAATCCCCTACTGGATAAGGAAGATCTATGCAAATAATTTAAGTAACACCAAATCATCAGATAACACTAGTGGGGGAGAAATGAGAATGTTGCACCATTAATTTTTTTTTTAAGACAGTTGCTCAAAACATCTTGTTTCTGTAAATAACTGACTGCAAAACTCACCAATGTATCCCTAAGCATCAATCTGCTTAAGATGCCTCAGAATCAATTTCTAATCTGGGACAACCCTAATGTTAAGAGAGCCTGACGACAGGAGTGATGCCTTGGCCACTGTTGCTTCCTTTACACTCAGAATCTAAGGAAAAAGTATGAAGAGAGTTCTCCTGTAGTTTATCCCCTCTCAAATGACCAGGAAGCCACCATGACCAAGAGAAAGAGCTATCAGGCATCCCTACCAGCACCACCAGTCTAGTGTGGAGGAAGAAGAGAAAACTGAAGAGACGAGGAGCTGTGATTTGAAACTCTGCAGAGTAACACACTGATGAAATCAGAAGGAAGAGAAAGAACAGATGGAAAAGAAAGAAGAGGAAAAAGAAAAGAAAGAACAAAATGGAGAAGAAGAAAGGAAGAACAGAAGAGGAAAATAGAAAGAAGGAGGAAGAAGAAAATGAGGGATGAAGGGGAGGAAAAACAGGAGGAAGGAAGAAGAGTGGAGGGACGACTTCCACTTTGCTTTGGCCTCCCGAGGGCCTAGCTCAGTGCTGAGAAGATAGCAAATGCTTAATAAGTACTTGTTAGTCAACTGGTTCCATAAACATTTATCAAGTCCCTATTAGATGCAGCACCGTTTTCCAAGGGCTGGCAATACAAAGACACTCACACACAAATTCCTGCCCCAAAGGAGCTTACATTCTAATAGCTGGGAGTTGGGAATGGGGGATACAACATACACAAAAACACAGAAATAGAAAGTCATTTCAAGAGGTAAAAAGGTCTAAGAAGTGGGAGGGTTTCAAAAGCTCTTCTGCAGGAGGCGGTATCTCAGCTGTGTTTTGATGGAAACCAAGGGACAGAGATGAGCGGGGAACGAACGGGCAGGAGCCTGTGCAGAGGTGTAAAGATGGGAGACAGGGAGGAGAGGGCAGCGCACAGGAAACAGCTAGTAAGCAAGCCACTTTGTATGGAAGGGAGAGTGCATGACTGGGAGAAACACGAACTAAGGCAGGCTATAAAGGGAATGAGAGCTGTAGCATGAAGGGCATTCAGTACCAGCTTGGGCTCTATAGTGTTTCCTAGAGGCAATAGGTGGCCACTGCAGATTGTTGGTAGTGGAGTCCCATGATCAGATCTGTGTTTTAGGAATATCAATTTGGCAGCTCTGGGGAAGATGGATTGGAGGAGTAAGACACTACAAATAGAGAAACCCAATTAGAAGGCTATCACAATAGTTCAAATGAGAGGTAATGAAGGTTTCAATTAAGGTAGAGGCTATATGAATGAAAAGAATGGATGGACTGGAGTGGGAAGAGCCTTGGGGCAAGCACACCCCCCCAGCAGCTATGACAATAGTCCAGGCATGAGGTGATGAGGGTCTACACCAGAGGGGCAGCAGCATCAGAGGAGCGAAGAGAGCATATTGGAGAGATGCTACAGAGGTGAAATCAACAGACCGTGGCAACAGCCTGGATGTGGGGGATGAGGGACAGTGAGGAGTCCAGGAGGACTCCCAGATTGCGAGCCTGAGGGTCTGGGAGGATGGTGGTGCCCTCAACAGTAATCAGGGGGTTTGGAAAGGGGGGAGGTTTAGGGGGAAAATAACGAGTTCAATTTTTAGACATGCTGAGTTTAAAACGTCAACTGGACATCCAGTTCAAGATGTCTGAAAGGCACTTGGAGACATGAAATTGGAGGTGAGCAGAGAAGTTACAGGATAGGCTAATTTGAGAATGATCAGCATAAGAGATGAGAATTAAATCCAATCACCGAGTGAAGTAACGTAGAGGGAGAAGAGAAGAGGGCCCAGAATAGAGCACTGTGGAACACCTCTGGTTGGAAGATGTGCCCTGAATGAGGACCCAACAAAGGATAAAATTGATAGGTAGAGAACCGGGACAAAAGGGTGTCAAGCTACACTCAATTAAAAAAAAATCAGTGCTATATCTTTGCTGGGTGTCTTTTTTACTGAGTCTTAGCTAAGTAAACTGCTTTTTGTTAACTATTTGCTGGCTTACAACAAAGGTGTCAAACATGCAGCCCACAACACCCCTGAAAAAAGGTGGCCTGAGAAAGATTTAACTGCAATTGAGAAATCTTTAATAAAATAAATAAAAATATAATAAAACATAGATAATATTAATATGTGGTTTTCTAAGTCAATATGAGGCCCACGAGGACTCTTATCTATGGTTCAGTGGTCCCTATTTCTATTTGAGCTTGACACCCAGGACTATAAGTGTTTTATTTTCTTCCATTTCCAAACCTGAAGCACTAGACTAGTCTGAATCAGGTCTGGCCTACAATAATACACTCAACAAAAACAGGGAATTTTGGAGGAAATGTAATGAGTTCCATTTGGCCATAATATTGAGTTAGAGATGCCTATGGGGATGCTAAGTGGGGATATAATCAATATTTAGGGAGAAAGGACCAGATAAATGAGGTAATTTGAAAGAAATGAGGGGATCTCTACATTGCTCTATTATGTAGATATTAGACAAAAGAAGGGCCATTTAACTGTCATTCATAAATGGTCAAATAAAAACATAATTGCTCTTATAGCCTTGATTCTCTTAATTTGGAAGTAGGAGTCATTCCTAAGCTAATATTTAACTAAGATATGAAGTTAAAACTTGTATGAGAAGAGTAAAACACAACATTAGCTACCTCAATGACCAAACTAATGAGAATTAGCTTCATTCATTAGATGAAATATAAAGCATCAAATTTCAGATCTAGATATAACAAACATTGCATATTCATTCTGCTTTATCACTTTTCTTCCTTTATTACTCAGTACTGGAGAAGAAATGATCATCTCAACTTTGGCTGTTCCTTTGTTGAACTGATTTCAGATAAAGTTTAAACTTACACAGTACCTCCTAGTGAAATATTCATAAGTGTTTTGGAACATGATTTTAAAATAAGAAGTGTGCTTAATTGTTTCTGTGCAGAACCAAACATAGAAAACAATTTCTAGGTCAGTCAACTTTAAATTGATATTTAGATAAGTTTACATTTTGCCCAAAGAACAACAAAGAAATGACAGTCTAAAGACAGTTTTGAATTACTGTCTTACTCTGATCAACTGGGTGCTCTTACACATAGTAAACTTTCTCAATTAATAGTATTTAATAAGTAATTTAAAATTTAACTCAGAATAATCATGGGAAATAATAGAAATTATGATATAAAAAATGGATGAGCCCTGAAGTCCTAAATTCAGCAAGAGTTGCTTAGTGTAGTCTATAAAAAGATTACTAGATATACTTTTATCAATGTCTCCCAAGTTAATTTGACATCACTCAAAAGACATTTCTGGGTTACCCATGACTCTGTAGATATCTTCATCATCTAGCATGTGTTTGAGAAGATAGGTGGAGAAATCCAGGATAATCTGATTACTTTCTGTTATCAGAAACCATCCATAACATGTGTTTAAGCAGGCTGACCGTGAGGGACGGTCAGACTTCTGTTCATCCCAGGAACCATCATTGTAGGCAAAGAAAGCTGTGAGGCTGTTGATGCAGTTTTCTAAATGATTAGCTCTTTGTGAACACTTCACAGGAGTTTGTTTTTTTTCTTTCTTCTTTGGATAGCCATCTTTGCATTGGTTGATCTACTCTAATAGTATGTACCCTAGAGATTATTCAAAATCTTTTTTCTTAATTGTCACTTGAACATTAGAAAGAATGTAAGAGTATTTAAGCATAGTTCAAAATAGTAAATACACAAATTAGAGATAAGTGAAATCCATAAAATATATTTTGGCCTTCATAACTGGAGATTTTTGTGTTGGATTGGCTTTTGGTGAGAATATTCATTTAACTGAAGCCAAAGTATATTTTCTGCCTCAATTATCCCATAACATTGTGTACATGAATCTAGCTAAAATGTTCCAAGATGTCAGGGTGACCAAATAACTACTTCAAGCACTAAGAATATTATGACTTTATTCTGGCATAAGACACATTACTTTCGTAAAGTAACTGCTTTAATATCATACACAGCATATAACATATCACTAAATGTAAGTTTCTGCTATTTAAACTCAACTTTTTAAAAACAACTTTAACATGCTCTATTAAAGGAAACATTACATAAGCAAATACTGTGCTTAAAACTGTTAGTTGACTAGTTTTCCCAAATGGAAGATTCTATTCCATTCAATAAGCATTTATATAGTTCCTGGCAAAAGAGAGATTTTGGAGGGTTTTTTTAACTATTTGCTCTCAAAGAGTTTATATTCGTAAGGGCAACTGATCACTTGCTGCCCTTAATATTCGTTCAAATGAAAAAAAATTCTTATTTGTCAAATACAAATTCACATAAAGCTGCTCATAGTAGCTGGCAACTGTACCTTTCATGCATGTAGTCAACTCCCAGTAACAGCTGGATAAACCATTCTACTATCTGGTTTTCAGGAAAGGTGTTTCCAGCTTCTTTGTACTCCTGAATTTTACAGTCCAGATCTCGACCCTGGAAGAGAAGTATATTATCTCATGTTTTTCTCAATCAAGCATCAAATTCAAGGCCTTTTTATCAAAGCTAATATAAAAGGATGCCAAGTACCCCAGTCCACAAATAGTATATACTTAGTATCGGTGTAACCTCGAGCAAGTGTTTTAGTCTCCCTAGGTCTTCATTTTCTCCTTTGTAAAATGAGAGATTTGGATTTGACCTTTAAGGTCCTTTCCAACTCCAAATCCTTTCAACATATCTTATGAATTACTATTAGCATAGATTTTTATCCTTATTCCACATTCACAGATACATAAGTTTAGACAGTAAATGATATTTACACACATACATACATATATATGTAAATATGAAAGTACACTCAAACATGTGTATGTGTATATATATTCCTCAATAGCAACTCTAGTATCCAACACTTCCAGCATCAAGCTTAGATGATTCAGTTCTGAAATTTGTCCTTTCACAACTTTCTCTCACTACTGTACCTGAATGAGTTAGAGCATACTAGAAAGATATGTACAGCAGAACTGTTATATGATTATATAAAAAATATAATTTATTTGATCATAGACGGAAGATAATAATTTGATTATTAACCACACACTGAGGTGTAGTCATTATCAGAAAGAAACTCAAGTCTAAGTCGAGGAAGATAAGATGAAAAAGAAATGAAAAGACAAGTTTCAAAACTATGTCAGCTCAGCTTGATGAAGGAAGCGATGGATACTACAGATGCTGTTGAGGAAGAAGTTCAAATGAGCAGAACAATAGTTTCGAAGCAGAGAAACAAAAAACTCACTTAGTAGATCAATTAATTTGGCTGAGGCTTTATTACTAGAGAGGTATTAATGAAGCACAGAATGGATGATCTTAAGTTAGCAGTGGAAGCATCCGTTTAACATAGGAACTACTTTCATGAAGGAATTTGTGTGGACAGGTCCTGAGACAGAAGACATAAAAATTGACAGTTCCAGAGTTGTGAGTTATCTCTGACAGATGGATTTTCCTCACTCATGTACCACCTTGGCAGATTTCAGTATGTGTCTACTCTCCTCTACCTATACTGGGTGCATTTGAAGGAATACATGATCCAGGTCTATATGTAAAATATAATATATTTATTCCTGTAAGTGTAGTTTTTATGAGCAGGTATGAGATTATTATTATTATTTCTTTTGCCTTATTATTAAGTAAATAGTTACATTTTAGATATAAAAGTGTCATTATTATGAGTGGCTGGTTTTGCGTAAATAGAAGCATATCAATAGGGGTTCAAGAAATGCGGTGGTAAATAAAACAAGTGTATTCCTTTACAACAGAGCTAACCCTTAGGAATTTGTGGTAATGGCCCCTCTCTAGAAACCTATACCTCCCAGAGTGAAGGCAAGTTGGAGTGAATAAGCCAACCCAGAGTGCAAGCAGTATATACAATCTGCGTGATTGGTGTACAATGCTAAAGTATGGATAGACACTCCAGGCTCCCACTCTTCTGAAGTTCATGCTAATTACTCAAGCCATACTAACCTGATGTTCCTACTCAAAATGTTTTTGCTAATTATCGTAAAGACATGGAAGAACTTTTGATGTGAGGAGCTATATAAATACTAGAGACACATATGCGTGAAAAGCAGGGTGGTTCAGTAGAAAGAGACCTTGCTCACAGTAAGACCTGGGTTTAAGTCCTCTCTCTGACACACACTGGCTGAGTGACCTTAGACAAGTTAGTGTCCTAGGAAACTCTCTAAGATTTTCAGTTGCAGAGGGGGTTCCAATGAATATATCTATAATACACATATATGTGTGTGTGTGTGTATGTATTTAGATATATACTGTATATGTAATTATATACTTATATATATATGTGCTTTTCTGATGGAATTCTATCAGCATAGATAGCCCCTTAATGGGAGGGACTGTTTCATTTTTGCCAATTCTACTGACACATAGTATATACTGAATAAATATCTGTTTGATTGATTGGCTACATAAAAGTATATAATATCATTTTTCCACCCAGATTTTTGCTTCTTATCCTAAACGAGCAAAGCTTCTTCTAAGGCCAGAAAGGACATCAACTCTCTTTTAGTTTATCTCTTTGTCAGATTCTTAAACAAGAGTCCAACTTATCCTTCTCTGCTGCTGCTGAATTACCTAGATGTTGAGGCATTCTCTCTAACTGCCTCATTTAAGACAATGACTGGCAAAAAATATCTTTATGTAATCTGTATCTCCATACAACAATCATCACTTTTACTCTGCCCAGTGGTGATAACCTAGCACAGATATTAGACCCTATTGGTCTAAAAAAAAAAAAACTTTACCTCTACCCCTGCCTTTTCGCAAATCTAGGTTTCTATGAGCATGGCCCATAAATCACACTCTTACTAAGAGAGTGACAACAAAAGTGGAAAAAAAAAACTGAAAAGAATGGTGATAACCAAAATCAGCAAAATGTTTGAGTTGAAGGAAATATAAAAAGGAATGTATGCTCAATGAAATAAATGAATGTAGTAGAGATCTTAGTGAATAAAGCCTACATTAATCCCATTACCTAACACTTAATGATTTATACTTTGTGTACAATAAAAGAAACTCTCTCACCCCAAAAAAATATTTCTTTAAAGTCACATAACTGTTAATTCAGAAAAATCATGATTTAAAATTTTACCATTCCTTTCTTGAAACTGTTTTTATAAGGAACAATGCTGATGATTTTGATTGACTCTCACAGCAATTTCACAAATAATTTTTAAATGACAGCATTTCTTAGCTTGTTTGATGTTTCTAAGCATTCCTAAAAGATATCTTAGAGAGGTTTCTAACGGTGACCTTTTTTTCTGATATGACTGTAATGAAAATGGGATTTATTTTAACTTGAAGCTAAAATTAATGCTGACTTACTCCAAGTGGAATAAGTTTCCCTAGGTATTACCCCTAAAATACTGCTTCACTTAACATGATTTTATATTATCCCTTCCCCTTTTTTTAACAGAATCACCTAATTTTAGAATAGGAAGGGCTCCAAATAGCTAATCCAGTCTTGAAAAGGAATTCTCCCCCCCACACACACACACACACTATAACATAGTCAGAGAGTAGTCATCCTGCCTTTACCAAGAAACTCGCAGTAAGGGAGGAACCCTTTCCTCTCTCCTCCCCCAGGGAGCTCATTCTACTTTGGGACACCTTTGATTGTTAGTGGAAGTTTTTCTTTTTTCTTTTTCTTTTATTTAATTTTCTTTTCTATAATTAATTTATTTATTTTTAGTTTTCAACATATACTTCCAAAAGATCTTGAGTTCCAAACTTTCTCCCCTTCTTCTCCTCCTCTCTTCTTAAGACAGCGTGCAATCAGATATAACCTCTACTTATACATTCATATTAAGCATATTTTCACATTAGTCATGATGTAAAGAAAAATTATAACTAATGGGTGGAACTACAAGAAGAAACAAAATAAAACAACAAAAGAAAAGGACAGCAAATAGCATGCTTCCATCTGCATTCAGACTCCTAAGTTCTTTCTCTGGATGTGTATAGCATTTTCCATCATGAGACTTCTGGAGATGTCTTAGATCCTTGCATTGCTGAGAAGAGCTAAGTCAATCAAAGTTAGTCATTGCATAATGTGGCTGTTACCATGTACAACGTTCTCCTGGTTCTTCCTGCTCATTTCACTTAGCATCAGTCCATAAAAGTCATTCCAGGTTTTTCTGAAGTCCACCTGCTCATCATTTCTTATAGCACAATAGTATTCCATTACATTCATATACCACAACTTGTTCAGCCATTCCCCAACTGATGGGCATCCCCTCAATTTCCAGTTCTTTGCCATCACAAAAAGAGCTGCTATAAACATTTTTGTACATGTGGGTTCTTTTCCCATTTTTATGATCTCTTTAGGATACAGACCTAGAAATGGTATTGCTGAGTCAAACGATATGCACATTTTTGTAGCCCTTTGGGCACAGTTCCAAATTGCTCTGCAGAATAGTTGGATCAGTTCACAACTCCACCAACAATGCATTAGTGTTCCAATTTTGTCATTATCTTCTCCAATATTTATCATTTCCCTGTTCTGTCATGCTAGCCAATCTGATAGGTGTGATATGGTACCTCAGAGTTGTTTCAATTTGCATTTCTCTAATCAACAGTGATTTAGAGCATTTTTTCATATCACTATAGATAGCTTTAATATCTTCCTCTGAGAACTGCCTGTTCATGTCCTTTGACCATTTATCAATTGGGGAATGTCTTGTATTCTTATAAATTCGACTCAGTTCTCTATATATTTTAGAAATGAGACTTTTGTCAGAGATACTGGCTGTAAAAGTTGTTTCCCAGCATTCTACTTCCCTTCTAATATTGGTTACATTGGCTTTGTTTGTGCAAAAACTTTCCAATTTAACGTAATCAAAGTCATCCATTTTGCATTTCATAATGTTCTCTATCTCTTGTCTGTTCATAAATTCTTCCCTTCTCCATAGATCTGACAGGTAAACTATTCCTTGCTCTCCTAGTTCGCTTATAGTACCAACCTTTATACCTAAATCATGAGCCCATTTTGACTTTATCGTGGTATAGGGTGTAAGATGCTGGTCTATGCCCAGTTTCTGCCACTTCCAATTTAGAGGAAGTTTTTCTTGACCTTGAACCTAAATCAACTTCCACTCTACTCCTTGTTCTGCCCTCCGGAACTAAGCAGACAAGGCTCCTTCATGACGTGAAGGTTATCCCCCATTAAGCCTTCATTTCTCTAGAAAAAACATCTTCAGTTCCTTCAATCAATTCTCCTCATAAACTATGAAGACAAGGCCCTTGGTGATCTTGGTGGCCTTCCAGCAGGCATTCTCTAGCTTCTCGAATGTGCCCTTCCTAAAGCTCGGCACTTAGAACTGAACACTATATTTTAGAAGTTATTTGACCAGGGCAAAGAACTGAGGGACCATACCTCCTTATTTTGGGATGCAAGACTTCTCTTAGTACAGCCCAAGCTCATA